TGTACAGGTAGGAGCTCCCAGTAATGGAAAATTGGTGGAATAACCTGAATAAAGGTTTATATATATCAACTTAGCAAAATGGGGGCTTTCAGGGCTTCCATGGGAAAGTAGGGAAGGTTTTACTGGGTTTTTTGATGCTGATTGGGCAGTCTGTCTTCACAGCAGCTGAATTCACAGGAAACTCCCTCCGAGGAGGGTTAATGGCTGCTGTATTTTCAGAAGGCTCTGCTTTAGTCAGATAAGAGAAGTTCAGATAAAATTTGTTGCTGCATCTTCTGTAGCTCACATGTTTTCACTTTAAAATAGTCTTTATGCCAACTCTGGGGGTCCAAGTGGGTCCCCACAGTTATTCCCAACAGATAAGATGAAGTTCAGAGTGCACATGTTCTCATTTAACCCCGCCCTTTTCACTCACAGGGCTCTATCGAAATAATAATTGGGGTTATAAGTTTTTTCCTGCCTCCTTCCCTCACTACACTGTAATCGTTGAGGTTAGGAACTGTGTTTGTCATAGTCTATCTTTGTACCCTGGCATCTTGCCTGGTGCCTAGCACATGGAACTCAAAAATATTGAATGAATGAGTGAACTGAAATACTTACTTAGGGGTAAAATTTATTTCCTTAAATTCTCCAATTCCCAGCTGCCCTTCAGAACCAGCTCCCCAAGCGAAGGCCCTTCCTTTGTGACAGACAGCCACGGAGTGCTCCTTTCCACAGCTCACAAGAGCAACTTGTAGGGTTTCCAATGCTGGAACTGGTTCTTTAGGAAGAAAAACAAAACAAGACCCCCCACAAGATTATTAATTTAACAAGTTTATGACAATACTTGCCTTCAAAAAGAAGGGTCACTTGAATTTTTCATCTCTTCCAATGGACTTTTTTTTTTCCAACTTTTTTTTCTTCTGAGGAAGAGTCACCCTGAGCTAATAACACCCGCTGCCAATCTTCCTCTTTTTTTTTTTTTTTTTTTTGCGAGCCTCCGCCGCAGCATGGCCACTGACAAACAAGTGGTGCAGGTCTTCACCCAGGAACCCAACCCGGGCTGCCAAAGCGGAGGGCACCGAACTTAACCACTAGGCCACTGGGGCTGGCCCCCAATGGACTTTCAGTCCACACTAAAGGTGTGAAAGAAATAAACTCGATGTGTGTTACACTGCCTTTTGGGAATATAGCTGCTATTTAAAGGGTGGGCATCATGGAGGAGGGGAACTTGTAGGGACTATGATGCTTGACCTAACGTTTCTCTATGACGATGGTAACAAAACCCAGCAAAATAAAGGCAGCTGGAGAGAAGACGTGATCGCCTCCACTCTGCTCTCCTGGCTTCCTAGCCCACGGTGAGAATAGTGAATCTCTTGCTCAGGAGGAAAGGGGCAGGGAGCCTACCTTATGAGTGTGAGGGGCAGATGCCAGATCCCCTCACAATGAAGAGTGCGATACTGTGCCTCCAAATGCACCACATGTGCCCGCAGATGAAAACCTGATCTCATTACCCTACAAGCCGATCCAAACTGCTTTCCCAAAGTGTTCGTCTCTGAATTATTATAGATTTGGAGTTAAGTACATCAGTAAAGTTTTTAACATTTAAGTTAAGTTTTCTTTTTTTTTAACTTTGTAATCTTATCCTTTGCAATGATTTACTTTCAAACTATGCAACAATAAAAATTTTCCCAAAGATACATTCACTCATGGAGGTAGAAACAGGAACCACCTTCCTGGAGAGCAATTTGGCATTAAGTCTCATGTTGTCCCTTATTTCTACCTGAAGGGGATCAGGATATGCTACCCCAAAAATATGCCATTTTGGCATAAGGATTATTTTGAGCTGAAGGCAGTTGAGAATCAACAGATGCAGGAGAATTCTCTGCTCTCCCCTTATCCACCTAAAAGCAGGGCATAAATTTCCCTTGTGAAGGTGTCCCCTCTCCCCCATACCAGGAAGAGAAGAGTGACTCTTATCACCAGAGCCAGCATCAATAAATATGAGTCTGCAAACACCCTTACTAAAATAACCGTGATCTTCTATTAGTTCTTCCCATATATTTCTAAGTCACTTCCCCACAACTGATTATCCTTCAAAGCCCAAACCCCCTTTTCTTTGTTAAAATGGCATATAAGCCCCTAAGTGTAACCACTCCGTGTTTCCCTTCTTTTCTGTGAACTCCTGTGCACATAAAATATTAATAAAATTGTATGCTTTTTCTCTTGTTAGTTTATCTTTGTTAGTTTAGTTCACAGGCCCTCATGATAAGAACTAAGAGGATAGAGGAAAAGTTTTTCCTCCCAGACACAGCTCTTGGAACTTATTCTAAGTATGCAATCAGAAATTTGGTCAAATATTTACTTACAATAATGTCAATCATAGTATTTATAAAAGCCCCTAATGAGAAAAAACCTAATTTCCACAAAAGTTGAATCATTAAATTGTACTCTCAGAGCCTGGAGTGTTATGCAACAACTTAAAATGTATTGTCAAAAAATACATAATAAAAGGGCAATACATTCATAATATTATGTTTGGTGAAAACGCAATTTACAGAGTTGTATAAATATCGCGTATACAAAACTGTATAATGACATGATTTTATAAAGATTAAATATATAACAGGAAAAAAGGAAACATCAAAATATTAGGAGTTGCCTTCGGGTGTTGGAATTATAGGCGATTTCTTTCCCTGTTTCTACAATAATCAGTAATGGTAAAAAGGCTATTATATATTTTTAATCGTAAGAAACAAGACGCCTAGGGTATTTCTGAGGGAGTTACAGGTGTTCAACCCACAAACCAGTCACTCTGACTGTTCCAGATAGATTCGCGCAGGCAAGGATTGGTCTCGAAACGCAAGGGGAGGGACCACACCTCCGTTCAGAGGAGGATGGTCCAGTTTACTTAAGCTTTCATTCTCGCCTTGAAGACGAACTGGAAACTGAAACAAACCCGAGGCGCGTCCGGAAATCGAAACTGATGAAGTTGCGCAAACCGTAAAGCATCACTCTGTTCAGATAGATTCGCGCAGGCAAGGATTGGTCTCGAAGGGCAAGCGGGAGGGACATCTCTCTCTGTTCGGGGGAGGGCGGCCAGTTTAGTTAGGCTCTCAGTTTCGCTTTGAAGACGAACAGGAAACTGAAACAAACCGAGGCGCGTCTGGAAACCGACGCTGCTGAAGCTGCGCTCAGGCTGCGCGGAGCAC